TTAAAAACTACCTATTTGTGAGCAACTCTCAATTAGCTTGGAAAACATTTTGCTGTGAGAAAGGGAATGGGAAAGCCATTCCAAACTGTTTCCTCCAAACAATACTCAGACTTTACCAAGTGTTGTTCTGTAGATGTTTGAGTAGTGCTTGGCTGCTTCCCTTTCGATTTCAACAAATGTGAATGTGTGTGATATCAGAAAATAGAGGAATCTAGAAAATCTGGAAATGTTACTTTTTCATACAGCCACTGGCCATGCTGAATTTTTACATTCTGGGAGTTGCAGTCCAAAAGAAATAAATATATAAACATACAAATTAACACTCATCTTCTCCCTTGTCAAACTGGGCTAACTCCAGCACTGGCCAAACCTAAGACTTCAGCTGAATATCAAGAGAATCATTCTATTTTCTCCTTGCTGGACCATTTATGATTGTCTAGATCACTGGCAGAAGAAGAGCATCTCCTTTCACATTATTCAAATCTCATCAAAGACCATCACCTTGGCTTAACCGGTTCTGATGATGAGATAAATCATTTGGAGGAGAGGTGCCTTGGGCATTTCTTATCACTCAGGTTACCTGTATGTCATGCTTTGCTTAGCCTGCTAATCAAAACGTGTCATTTTGAGCATTTCTCATTTACAGTGCCTCATGAAAACCAAGCATTGTTATGGCTGCCTGGGACATTATTAGTACAGCAGCTGGATAATGGGCAAAAAGATACCATAGTTTTGGAGTGTGCATGAGTCTGAATAATTATGCATAGAGGAGGATGGGATAATCTAGAGACATGTTGCTGGTTATTCATTATATGCTTTCAGAGTAATCGTCTGAAGGTAGTACAGAATACATTTCAATTAATAAAGCTGGGTGGGTGTGGAGTTTACTAAAGCAATGCATGAATGCAGAGGAGGAACATAGGGGGTGGGGAATTGCAAAGTAGATTTTCCAGCTACAGAATACAGACCACTTTTCCCCACCACACAATTATAGCACTATGATTCCACTTTAACTGCCATGTCTGTATGGAATACTGGGATTTGTACTCTGATGCAGCACTCTATAGCTCTAAATATCCCTCCTTGAACTGTGAATCTAGAATTCCCTAGGATGTGGACGTAGCAGTTAAACTGTAATCTTAGCACTATAACTGTGTAGCATGAAAGACCCCTTAGATTCAGGTTGTTAGTGACTACAACAGGTCTGAGAGCAAATTATCTGCCCCTGAGGCTCTCCAAAATGTTGAATAAACAGCAACAAATGGTTGACAAAAATGAAGAATGAACAAGAAGAGACCAGAAGTTAAATTCTGCAGACCTTTCACACCACTCAATTATAGGACTATGGTTATAAATTAACTGCCATGGTTCCATCCTGTGGAATCCTAGGTTTTGTAGTTTAGTGAGGCACCAGAGTTCTTCAGTGGAGAATTCTAAATGCCTCTCCCTAAACTACAGATTCTGAGGTTCTAGAGGCAATTGCTATGGCAGTTAAAGTGGAATCATATTCCTAAAATTGGGTAGCACTGCAAACTTCAGTCTAATGTGCATTGCAGAAATAATGTAGTTTGGCACAGCTTTATGGAATCTTGGACTTTGTAGTTTGCTGTGGAACCAGAGCTCTCTGATAGAGAAGGATAAATAGCTCACAAAACTACAAATCCCAGCATTCCATAGCATTGAGCCATGGCAGTTAAAGTAGTGTCAAACTGTATTATTCTGCATTGCAGATTAGACCATAGGCTGGAATCCTATTGGTACTTTACAAACATATAAGTTCTCTTATACATGTTCTTGTACTTTTTTGGCCACGTCTGGTCTTCAGTTCACAGCTATATAAGTGAAGTCCCTCATGTGTAACCTTTGCATATGAATTTGTGAATTCTTGGGATGGTGTGTAACTACCTGCTGTATCTTCAGTGCAGCAGTTGCTTCACTGGGATTGTTCCCCGTTGCACACTAGGACAATAATATAGACAATCAGTAGGACAATAGACAATCAGTTTATGCAACATCGATTATTCAGAAGAAGGGTGCAGTAGCATAATCACCATGTAATTCTGTGTGGATGTTTCTATCATATAAACATGATACAGGATCTCAATCATGGTTGAGGTGCAGGCAGAAATCTGGAGCTAAGTAATGAAAATTAAGGAAGATCCAGGCTTCTAAAGGTGGCTAAAGATGTTCCAGAAAGCCTTCTGCTAGTTTGCTTCCAATCTAAACATTTAAAAGACTGGCACTTTTGATTAGTTCACACTCTTCCAGGTTTTCTTGCTCAATACTGATTTGCATGATGACTGAATCTTAGCAAAATGAAAGCGAAATGAGGGTATATCTGTCTCTCTCCTTTGAAAGCTTAAAGAAGTCAAAGAAGAGGGCAGCATGTAGCTAATACTAAGATGAAAGGGAATGGAATATGAAGGCACTCATTTTTAAAATCCCAAGGCTTTCAGCTGTTGGGGTGGGGGAAATACATAGAGATGGTTCCAGTAGCTTTGGATGAGAAATTTGATAGTTATATTGTGTTTGGCTTCATATTTCAGGCTTGCCATCTATGAACCTAGCAAACTTTGTCCTAGGCCTTGTCTACATGGTGATCTACTCCAAATTCCCACTGGGCTTGCTGCAACCTGTTCATGTGACACAGAGCCAAAAACCTGAATCAGGGTCTAGAGACTGTCTTCATGATGCCTGAATCTGATTTGGAGCTTTCTGACTCAAATAGCATTTAAATAACTCATGTTTTGCTGTGGATTTTCAGTTATCTTTGCAACAATGGTGGTGGCTGCCTTTTCACTTATGGTCCCCATTCGTCTCCCATTCTTGAAAAGCTGCAGAAGAAGCCCAGATTAGATATGGGCTGTCTACTGCCCAGCCACAGGGCTGCCTGATAAGATCTGTCTCTTATGGTTACAACCTGCATCTATCCCAGTGGGAATGGGTGGTGCGATAATCTCCGATATCAACTTTACTCACTCCAGTGCTGTTCCACTTTTCTCCTCTTCTCCACCCCCTTTTGTTTCTTTATTGGTCAATTTCCCTTAATCCCTTTATTCTTTCAGTCTTGTTGTTAACTGATATCAAGTTGACTTCAACTTATGGTGACCCTATAGGTTATCATATTCTAGTTTCCTATATCTGGCACTCAGGTTAGCATTCTCCCCACCCAAATTATTGGCTCATCTTGCAAATATTGCAGTGTGTCATGAAAGCAAAAGAGAGCAGGTAAGGTTGTCTAGTGTGCAGAGATACATAATATAGCACAAACACCTACCATTCATTTCCCACTCTGAAGCACTCTTCTTAAGATATTTTGTAGACAGGCAACACAAGGCTCAGTTATCTTAGATTGGAGGGTGTAATTCAGGGGTGCAAAGTCAATGACCATCTGTGTTTTGTGAACTCTGAGTTTCTATTTTCTTTACCTCACCTTTTCTCTACCATACCCCTGGCTCCCAGCATGGCCCCCTAGGATCTCCTCCAATCCCCAAACTCTTACCGAAATGCTTCAAAATGGCAAACCATACCCCCCAAAACCTCTAAGGATGTCATACACTATTTAAATGTTATTTTGCTTTCCCAGAGTTGTTTTAGGCACCCCAAATCCTTTTTTTCTATTAACACTAAAATTTTAAATCTCTAAGGCCCCACAATGTGTTATCAACCACTTCTGTGATTTCACTCACAGGCTAAAACACTAAAAGGTAGTAGGTTTGCTACTTGCCAAGCAAAACAATATTGACTCTGTATTTTTCTCTCATATTTCAGATTCTACACACATACATTTATCACCTTCAACTCTTTTTGTTTCTTGCTGTCATTTTTCTTCTCCACACACCCCAGCACTCATGCTACCTTTTCTTCTCTTCACTCTCTTCTTCTGCCTTGGTCCTCCACAACCTCACCTGAGATCTGCTCCAACTCTCAAGGAACAAATCTCAAGGCTTCCTGCTCTAGAAGCGACCTTTATTCTTAAGGAAAACTTCTTATTTCCAGATTGTTCTCTGGTTCAGAGGAGTTTGTCACCTGAAGGTACAAACAAAGTTAACAAACTAATTTGTGATAACCTCCATAATGGTAAGAAATCCCTTGAGAAAGCCTAGAGGGGTCTAATAATAATAATAATAATAATAATAATAATAATA